TGGATAAACACTGATAATGTTTCCACAGAAACATCCAAAAAGAGAGAGAGAGAAGAAAATGTCAGGACCAACTTTGTTGATGCTCTGAAAAATAGTCAAAGGTTTATAGCAACAAAACAAATACCCAATCAAGAAAAAGCCATCTTCAAAATGATAGGAAAGTTTGGGGGCATTTTTATTCACCCTTTCGCCTTCCCACCCCAGTGCAGCAGCAGTCTTCATCTTGAAGCAGCAGCAGCCCAGTTCCCAGTTCCCTCCCTTGAACAGGGAACAGAGGAGACTTTATTTGAAAAGCATCATGTACATCTATTCTGACATCTCTGGAGTATACATGAACTACCGACACAAGACTCTCATCTTCAATTTGCCTAACTTGGAACTTGGAAAAAGCAGTGGGCACTGCTTGTAAAAGATGCCAGGTGGACTACAGACTCACAGATGCCTGGGACAAAAGATTACAGGTATAGGAACTTTCCTGGCGGTCCAGTGGTTAAGAAAATGCACTTCCATTGCGGGGAGTGTGGGTTCATCCCTGGTCAGGGAACTAAGATCCCACATGCCACACGGCCAAAAAAATAGAAGAAGAAAAAAAAAAGATTACAGGTGTAAACAACTGATAGATTGTCTAAGAACTGGAGGATGAGTTAGGATGAGATTCTTTGGGAAATTAGGACATTCAAAAGCAGCTGTCTATAGGGGGAATTTAGAAAGCTACACACATGCCCAGGCAAGCTGCATACCCTGGAAGACCTGAAAAGGCCTTAAGTTTTCACTTTGGGCTGATTCCTAGGATCAGAGAAAGCCTACTGGAGTATTTGAAGGAGTGTTTTAACATAGAGTCAAGATGCAGAGACTGTGAGAAGTAGTTGGATTTTTTGTTTTTCTGCTTTTTAAAATTTTTTGTGAGTTTTTGTTGTTGTCTTGTTTTTTAACTCCTGACATTCAAGGAAATCTGTCAAAACATTAGCTGAACATGAGCTAAAGGAACAGACACGTCCATGACCACACACAATAAGGAATAGTCTTTGCAAAATAGTGTGGAAAAATCTCAAAGCACGTGGACTACCACAGCCTACAGCAGTAATAATTTAAAAAAAGAAAAAGCAAACCTTGGGGAAGAAGGAAAATCTGATTTCCAGAATTACCGCATTATAATTGCCAGATGCTCAACTTTCAACAACAAAAAAATCACAAGGCATACAAAAAAAAGTGAAAAATATAATCCATCCAAAGATCAAATTGATAGAAACCACCGTTGAAAAAGCAGACATTGGACTTGCTAGAGAAAAACTTCAAAACAACTGTATTAAATATACTCAAAAAGCTAAAGGAAAATCTGGACAAAGAAATCAGGAAAACATTTTATGAACAAAATAAGAATATTAATAAAGATAGAAATTATAAAAATAAACCAAAGAAATTCTGAAGCATTATGGGGGTGTCCTAGAAGGAGAAAGAAAGGGGCAAAGAGATTATTTGAAGAAATAATGTCTGAAAACCTTGCAGATATGATGAAATGCTTAAATCTACAAATCTAAGAAGCTTAATGTATTGCACATAAGATAAACTGACACATTATAATCAAACTGTTGAGAGACAAAATCAAAGAGAGAATCTTGAAAGCAGCAAGAGAAAAGTGACATCACAAATAAGGAATCCTCAATAAGATTTACTAGCTGACTACTCAGAAGAAACCTTGGACACTAGAAGTCAGTGGAATGATATAAAATGTCAGAAAAAAAACTTTCAACCAACAAATTTATATCTGGCAAATCTGTCCTTCCAAAATGAGGGAGAAGTTAGGACATTCCCAGATCAACAAAAGCTGACTACCGCTAGACCAGCCCTACAAGAAATGTTAAAAGGAGTCCTTTAGATTGAAACAAAAGGACACTAGACAATAACTTGAAGAAGTAAGAAGAAATAAAGATCTCCAGTAAAGGTGAATACATAGGCAAATATAAAAGCCAGAATTATTGCAGTTTTGGTTTGTAACTACTTTTTATTTTCTAAGATGGAAATTTATAGCTTTAAAGGCATCCATTAAAAAAGATCTCGGGCTTCCCTGGTGGCGCAGTGGTTGAGGGTCCGCCTGCCGATGCAAGGGACACGGGTTCGTGTCCCAGTCTGGGAGGATCCCACATGCCGCAGAGCGGCTGGGCCCGTGAGCCATGGCCGCTGAGCCTGTGCGTCTGGAGCCTGTGTTCCACAACGGGAGAGGCCACAACAGTGAGAGGCCACAACAGTGAGAGGCCCGTGTACAGCAAAAAAAAAAAAAAAAAAAGAAAAAGGATTTTGAGAATACTGTGAACAATTGTATGCCATCAAATTAGATAACCTACATGAAATTGATAAATTCCTAGAAATATACAATCTACGAAAAGCAACTCATGAAGAAATAGGGAATAGGTAAACCTATAACTAGTACGGAGATTAAATCAGCAATCAAAAACCTCCCAACAGAGCAAAGCCCAGAACTAGATGGTTTCAGTGGTGAATTCTACCAAATGTTGAAAGAATTAACACCAATCCTTCTCAAACTCTTCCAAAACAATCAAATCAAGAAAGAACACTTTCTAGCTCATTCTAAGAAGCAGGATTAACCTAATAACAACAACAAAGACACTACAAAATAACAAAAAACAAAAAACTACAGACCAGTATCCCTTATGAATATTGCTGCAAACATCCTCAACAAAACCCTAGCAAATCAAATTCAGCATATTAGACTATATATAAATGTATGAAATGAACATGTACACCTTAAATTTATAGAATGTTATATGTCAAATTATTTCAAATAAATAAACAACAGCATATGAAAAGGATTATACACCATGAGCAAGTGAGATTTATTCTTGGAATGCAAAAGAAATTTCAACTTATGAAAACTAAGCAATGTAATATATCACAGCAATAAAATGAAGGGAAAAAACTACATTATCATCTCAACTGATACAGAAAAGGCATTTGACAAAATTCAACACCCTTTCATGATAAAAAAAAAAACACTCGGTAAACTAGGTATAAAAGGGAACTTCTTAAACATAATAAATAGGCCATATATGAAAAAACCACAGCTAATATCATACTCAAAGATAAAAGACTGAAAGCTTTCCCTCTGAGAACAAAACAAGGACACCTGCTTTAACCACTTCTATTCAGCATAGCATTGGAGGTTCTAGCTAGAGCAATTAGGCAAGAAAAAGAAACAAAGGCATCCAAATTGGAAAGGAAGAAGTAAAATTATCTCTATTCACAAGTGATGTGATCTTATACACAGAAAACCCTAGATTCCACACACAAAAACTGTTAGAGCTAATAAATAAATTTAGCAAAGTCCCAGGATACAAAATCAACACCAAAAATCAACTGCATTTTCTACACACTGGCAATGAACAATCTGAAATGGAAACTAAGAAAACAATTCCAGTAAGAGCTAAAACTATAAAACTCATAGAAGAAAATACAGGGGGAAATCTTCATGACATTGGATTTGGCAATCATTTCTTGGATATAACACTAAAAGTACAGACAACAAAAGAAAAAATAGAAAAGCTGGACTTGATCAAAACTTAAAACTTTTGTGTATCAAAGGACATTATTAAGAGTGTAAAGACAACCTAAAGAATGGGAGAAAATATTTGCAAATCATATACCTGATAAGGGATTAGTATCTAGAACATATAAAGAAGTGCTACCACTCAACAACAAAAAACAAACAACCCAATTTAAAAATGGGCAAAGAACTTGGATAGGCATTTCTCCAGTTTTATACATACAAAATGGCATATTATTCAGCCATAAAAAGGAATGAAATTGATACATGCTACAACATGGATGTACCTTGAAAACATTATGCTAATTGAAATACAATGCTAAATCAGACACAGGACAAATATTTTGATTCCACTTATATGAGGTACCTAGAATAGGCAAATTCATAGAGATAGGAAGTAGAATAGAAGATACCAAAGGCTGGAGGGAGGGAGGGAGGAAGGGAGGGAGAATAGGGAGTTATTGTTTAATAGGCACAGAGCTTCTGTTTGGGATAGTGAAAAAGTTCTGGATCTAGTGGTGATAATTACACAACATTTTGAACATACTTAATGCCACTGAATTATACACACACCTTAAATGGTTAAAATGGTTAATTTTATATGTACATTTTGCCACACACAAAAAAAGTTTGGAGGATATGGTAACCAGACTCTAAGATATCCCCCAGTAATCCTTGCCTCCTGGGATTCATTCCCTTGTATAATCTCCTCCGACTGAGTATGGGCTGGACTTAGTGACTGACTTCTAACCAATAGTACAAGGCAAAAGTAACAGTATATGACTTAGAGTCCAGGTCATCAAACAAATTGTGGCATCACTCTCTCCTTTGGATCACTCATTTGGGGGAAGCCATGCAGGTCATCAAACAAATTGTGGCATCACTCTCTCCTTTGGATCACTCATCTGGGGGAAGCCATCCACCACGCTGTGAAGAGCTCCATGAAGTGGGGAACTGACTGCCTGTCAATAGCCCTGAGTGAGCTGGGAAGCAGATCCAACAGCTGTCAAGCTCTCATATGACTTCACCCACAGGTAACATCATAAAAGCACCTTTCTAACAGCTCTCGAGCCATCACATTCAACTAAATTGCTCTTGGATTTCTGACCCTCAGATACTGTGTGAGATATGTTGTTTTAAGCTGCTAGATTTTAGAATAGTTTGTTATGCAGTAATTGACAACTAATACCAGCAATGGAGGTGAGGAAAAGATGTTAAAGCAAGAGTCCAAGTATCTTGAAAGAGAATAATCACAAAATGCTATGTTCATCACATATTACATGAAATTTCACATTTTACAATTTTAAAAAAAAAGTTTCTCAAGTTAGTTATTTGCTATGTAATGAATAGACTTTAAAGAAACAAAAGGAGAAAATGTCAATTTTAAGAAACAAGAACATTGAACTCACACAGGATACCAAGAAAGCTTGAATCAATTTCATTGGCATTAAAAGTTTTTATTTGGAATTTAATCCACAATCTATACAAGTTATTTACAAGGCATGAAAATGGAGAACAGCACAAAATACAGTTGAGGTATAAGCTAAGAGCACAGTATGTCATGTTTCAATAAATATAATTCAAAATTTGTAAACTAAGTGACCAGATAGATGAGTCTTGTTTTATAGTAAAACCATATAAAATATTTATTTCACGTGAGGTAGAGGACAGTTTTGTGTGTCATGTAATACAACCAACCACAGCAATTTTAACCATAAAACTGTACATCATTGGCAAGATTTTAAATTGAATTATGGTCAATGTAGTCAACAATTTGTTTCAACAGTTGCACAACAGATCTTTCATTTACTGCCTTCACAGATTAGAACTTCAGAAATACTTTAAGACTACTGTGTTGGCTTAAAATTATCAGGACAAATAAATACTTCTAACAGGGTGGTTAAAAGCAAGTATATTTTATTTCTCCCAAACTATAATTCCCCAAGAGTTATTCAAGATTTAGCAATTCTTTTAGTAGGATTTTTTTTTTTTTTTACTAGAACTACTTTAAGTATGCTGTGCTTTATTTTCAAGTGAGGTATTTATATTGAAGAAAAAAAAATCTTACGAATTTCTCTTACATTCAACTAACTTAATACACTATTTTGTTTTCTGGGCTTAATTTTTAAAATTTCGGTTTTTACATTTGTTCACTTTAATTCAAACACAGTAGCACTATATAAGACATTTAATTCTATCACTAAAAAACAGGCTCAAAATTGCATTATGTATTATAGTTTAGAAGCCAATTAAAATGGAAAGATTTTACAAAATAAAAAAAAGACTGTCCTTTTAAACAAGACGCAATATTGAATACCCATACAAATTTCTTCCAATAATGGAAATTCTTAAGTGTCTTACACTAGAAAAAAATTTTAAGCTGTTTAAGTTATTCAACCCCACAATGTATAATACAGCAGTAATGTGTCCCTTATTGCTGGCAGCTCAATAAAAACTAACAAGTAGTTTCAAGCACAGAAACAGATGTACAGTATGAGCACAACTTTTCATTCCATTAATTTTTAATATCCTGTCGTGCAGATTAAATGTGTAAGAGCAAATAAAAATGAGGATTCTTCCCTAAGCAATCAAAAATAAGTCATTGAGAAGAAAATTTTAGAAACTGATCAAAAACCTTCAGCACCAGCTTTCGTATTACATTTAGGGAAATAACCTTGAGCATGTTTCATATTACTCAAGTTTCTTTATCATTTTACTTTCCTTCAAACAGAAGCCATAGATGTGCAAATAAAATGGTTGTTCTGTCATGTCTTCTAAAATATATGGATAACCTGCAAGTATCATTGTACTCAGTCTATTACACCTACTTTAGTAACTGGTTTTCAATTCAATATGTACAAATGATTTTATAGCTCAACTGGTAATATATTAAATATGTTATAAAATTAGTTCAAGAACCATAAAACATCCTGACTCTCCTGGACACAGAAATTCAAGCAAAAGAATATGCTTTACAAAACTAAAGCACAAGCCAAACTTACATTGTTGGTCAAAGCCTTTCCTAGTGTTAAAAGTTGCATTTGTGAAATAAGGGTTGTTTAGAGCTTCCTCAATGACAGCAGGTTTTACATTTACTATAGATTTGGTACCTTTTTCTCACAAAGTTTAGAGTATAGAAACTATCATCACCCAAATTAAACATTACTCATCACCCAGTAAACTAACATTCTATCTTTTCTTCCTTTTAAAGATGCTCTAGCACTTTTGATAGGCTGTTCCTTTAATGCAGCTTTTTAAAGTAAATATTTTTATATTTTTCCTAGAAAGAAAAATATTATGACGTCTGAGGGAAAATCCGCTTGCCTGATGAATTGGCACACAAAAACTAACACTGAAACAAACTTTAAGCTAGCAACCAACACACAAAATGAGCATGCAAAAATAGAATAATTATATGGATATTTTAGCAGAGGCCACTTGTAGAGTATTACAAAGTCTCTATATTTTCAAGCTACGTTGTACAGTTTAACTTGAAATTACTTTTAACTATAATAGGCATACTATTTACAATTGACTAAAAAAAACGTTTTCAAAGAAGTTAGACAGAAACTGATGGCACATCAGTGTATCTTCTGGAAAATGAAGACTACAATTTCATGTGGCAAGTTTCCCTTATGTGAAGAACTAGAAAAAATAGTTCTTTACTCAACGCTACATTAAGAGTTTATGATAATTTAAAGGTGATTAAGCATTGCTTAGAATTTTTAAATAACATATTTCAAAGATTAAGCAATTTGTTTTAGAAGTTTTGAGTTGAAATGTAAGTAAGCTTACCATTTAACTGAGTAACATAAGTAGATTGAGTGAATTAGAAAAATAAATGAAATTATAGGGGCCTGAATTATATGTCCCAAAAAGCTTAGCTGTGACACAACTAACACACAACTAAAATGAAACGGTATCATAAAATGTATTTGTGATTTTTCTTTCTCCAGATAAAGAAAAGGTATTAGGAGGGTATGTCATTTTTAATATTTGTTCCTATATGTCATTTTAACATGTGTTCCTCCTTAAGGAGGAACAAGAATCAACAAATTAATTGCAGGTCTAATATAGTCGAAGTTAAATGGAAAATAGAAAATACACATTTAGACCATACTCTAGTATTTGGGAAGTACAAAAATTCTTTTAGGATATATAAGTACCATTAAGCAAAATATGAAAATAACTGGTTAAATGATAACCTACTTATTTTTTTGAAGTTCTATACCAAGGATCTATCATCTAAGATGGGAATAGTAAATAACCTTAACCTTAGCTGATATATTTAAAAAATAAACTTAGCTCTCAAGTTAATTTCATACAGTACCTTACACGAGAACATAAACATAAAACTCATGGGATAATAATGTCAATTAATGGTAGCTTCAGGAAACTTTCTTTAAAAAATGCATACTAAGAATTTTACCTAGTATCTTTTAAGCCAAGAATTAACTAATATGAAATTTGCCATTAAAGAATGACAGGATTTTCTGTGCAAAAAAAAAAGAAAAGTGCAGAAGAAGTTGCCCCTCCCCCAAACTATGGAATTCCTGTCTTCTAAAAATTATCTAAAAGCCTTTTAGTAGCAGATAACTAAACTTCCCTATATTAACCTATCACACACTACCAGTTGACTGTAAATTCCTGATTTTGATATTAAATAGTAACTGAAAATGGTCCATTCGTGCACATTTTGGTAAGACTTAACATTTAAACATACAAAAGTCCAAAATAACCTTCAAAGTGTTTAATATTTTACAATTTAAAGGAAGACAAATCCATTATATAAGTTTCAGGAAGACCCACAACTACATATAAAAACTGTACAGGAGGATTATGGATTGTATGGGAACTGATGTACATCAATTTTTCTCAAGTACATTAATATTTTCACACCACTATTAACAACATAAACAAAAGTTCAAAAATTATTACATTTTATTCCCTCTTCTAAAGTCGCTGCATAAAATTTTTTTTCTAAATATAACCACATTTAAACAGAAAATCTAATTATAACCGCTTCTTGTGTTTAGCAGCAGTGTATAAGAAAGCATGTTATCCTTCCCCATGGGGTGTGCTATAACCTCAACAATGAAATTCCTCTATTGACAAAATGTCTCTTAGGAGATATTAAATAGAGGAGAACTGGTGGAAATTCAACAATATGAACAAAATAAAAGCAAATTTTGATTATAATAATGAGTATACTATATTAACTTAGAAAGGAGATTGTGTTCATGAAAAAAAATGGAGATTCAACACCTTGAGTAGCTCTATATATGAAATATGAAGCCACCATTGTATCTAAAATTGAATCTAAAATATGGATAACAAAATTGATCAAAACTATTTTCCATCACACAATGCAGCTTTTAAAAAGTATGCAACTGCTAAATTGCATTAGAAATATAGGCAGATTATGTAATAGTTGAAACCGTAAAGTATTGTTACTAAGCTGGTTGAAAAAAAAGTACAAAGAAACATACATTTTCATTCATTTGGAAAATGTAAAAATTTATATACTAATATATAATCTCTTCACTTTCTCTGATCTACAAATGGATACAATGCCTAGTTATTTTCATGCAGATAAATTGTTCAGAATTCAATTACCAAAGCAAATAAACAAACAAACAAAAATAAACCCTGTTGGGAACACACAGATGAATCTATTTAAAGGTTTCTATTCTTTAGCAGTCTTCGATGATTTCAAAATTTGCAGCTTTAGCTCTTTTATCATCATCTCTAACTTCTGTCTTGCCTCTCGTTCCTGTCTGAGTTCATCCTGGAGTTCTTGCCTATCAGCCTCGGCATGGTCCAATCTCTGTCTCAGTTCTGCCAGCTGTGTGATTTAGAAGACTGTGTCAGTTTTCATTCAGTGTTGTTTTTCCACTTACTCCTCACATCATGGCAAAGACCTACTTTCAAATTACTTATTACAAAAATGAACTATTTCATGCATGCATCTCTTGAATACCTAATACTATTAATCAGACTTTGACATGACGTTGAAATGAGGGTGAAACAAAAGGTCAAGAGAACTGAACACCTAGAACACTTTCATTATGCCCTACACTTCAGTATAACTCTCATCACAGCTGGCTCAGGTTAAGAGTTATTTGTTCATCTTCCCCAAGTTGTAAGCTACTATTCATTTTTGCCCGAGTGCTGTGAACATAGTGGGCAACAGTTCATGTTTGTTAATTCATTGATTTGAAAGCCCATATACTACATTAAAATAACATAACCTCTGATATTCAGATAGCTAGAGATTAGCAATTTGGACAACTAAACTACAGAAACCTGACAAGTTTAAAGTAATAAAGTAATCAAGGTCAAAAAATCATCTTGGATGATATAAAGTTGTGTTTAACAGAACTGTCTATTTTGAAATCTAGTCTAAATGAAATGAGCTTAACATAAAGTAATTTCTTTAATGAAATTAAAATAACGGCTTCAATTTCCACATTGAAAGGGCAACACTATACAAACTGTAATTCTTACCTGTGCTGCATATTCAGCCTCTTTATCTTTCTCTAAATTTGAGTCACAGGTACATTTTTGCTTCATTACCTGCTCTAATTTTTTCTCTAAGTCTTTCTGTTCAACATAAAATTCTTCCATTCTTTGAGCATGTTCATTCTGCAAAGACTCAAGCTCTTTCTGTAAATTCTGCTGTTCTTCAGTGAGTTCCTTCATAGCTTTTGAACTACTCAACATTTCAACTTCCTGTAATTTAAAGAATCACAATATAATTTTTACTTTATTTCCATCACATTAGAATTTTCAATTCAGGAAAAAACAGGACAGAAAATATCTAAAATTCAGCTATCATATCAATTCTATACATAAGTAATTATCTTGAAAACTATCTTCTCTAAGAATTTTAAAGTATATTAATCTTTCTTATAAATGTAAAACTGAATAATCTTAAATACATTTATAGCATCTCATCTTGACTTTCCTTAAGAATATGCAAAAGTATCTTTTCACAATGGACTATCATTTAGATAACAATTTTACCATCTGAAGTTGTTGCTTCTTCTGCAAAATTGAGTTCAGTTTTTCCTGTTGTTTTACATAAGTTCTCATTACTTCTTCCATGATTTTTCCCTTATCATCCTCACAAATAACATCTTTGACAAGAAGTGGAGACGAAGCTGCAGCATCACGGTCAATTCCTGCCTTGCCTGTGTCTCTGGCTAAGTTGCAAGTGGTAGGCTCAGGTTTCTTTTTGCTTGTAGAATTATTCGAGACTGATGGATCTTTGAAAGGCAAAAATGAAGTAACAGAGTATGAATATCACTCTGTTAAAATGTCACTAGAACAATCCATAAATGAAATTAAGAAAACAATTTCATTTACAAATGAAATAAAAAATAACAAGATACTTAGGGATAAACTTAACAAAATAGTATAAAACTTGTAAAATGAAAACTACAAAACATTATTGAAAGAAATAAAAGACCCAAATAAATGGAAAGCCATCCCATGTTTATGGATTGGAAGACTTAATATTGTTAAGATGATATCATGATCTGAATGTCAGTGACCTCCAAAATTCATATGTTGAAATCCTAGCCCCCCAATGCAATGGTATTGGGAAATGGGGCTTTCAGGAGGTAATTAGGTCATAACGGTAGAGCCCCCATTGATGGGATTTATGCCCTTATAAAAGAGACTCCGGAGAGCTCTCCCACCATTTGAGTACACATGAGAAGATGGCCATCTATGAACCAGGAAGCAAGCAAGCCCTTGCCAGACCAAATCTGCTAGTGCCTTGATCTTGGACTTCCCAGCCTCTAGAACGTTGAAAAGTAAATGTTTGTGGTATAAGCCACCCAGTCTATGTTATTTTTGTTACAGCAGCCCAAATGGACTACAATAAATGATAATACTTCCCCAAATGATCTATTTTTTCAATGCAACCCCTATCAAAACTTCAACTGGCTTTGTGGCAGAAACTGACAAGCTGATTCTAAAATTCATGTGGAAATAAAAGGAAACCAAAATAGCCAAAACAATCTTGAAAAAGAATAACAAAGTTGGAGGACTCACAATCCCCAATTTCAAAGCTTATTACAAAGCTACAGAAATCAAAATTGTGTGTAGTACTGGCATAAAGACTGAGCCCAGAAACAAACCCGTACTTTTACGGGCAACTGGTTTTCAACAAGGGTGCCAAAACAATTCAATCAGGAAAGAGTATTCTTTTCAACAGTGTTGGGACAACTGTATCCATATACAAAGAATGAGGTTGAACATCACACCTTACATAAAAATTAACTCAAAATGGATCATGGACTTAAATGTAAGAGCTAAAATTCTTAACTGGATTAGGCAATGGTTTCTTAGACATGACACCTAAAGTAAGCAACGAAAGAAACAATAAATTGGACTTCATCAGAATTTAAAACTTGTGTTTCAAAGGACACTACCAAGAAAGTAAAAAGACAACTGACAGAATGGCAAATTCTAGTACCATAATGTACAAAGAACTCTTACAATTCAGTTGTAAAGAGACAACCCAATTTAAAAATAGGCAAAGGATCTCAACAGGCACTTCTCCAAAGATTTGCAATGTCCAATAAAAACATGAAAAGATACTCAGTATCATTAGTCATTGGAGAATTACAAATCAAAACTATGAGATATCATTTCACAACCACTAGGATGGCTATAATCAAAAGACAAACAATAACAAGTGTTGGCAAAGATGTGCAGAAATCGGAGTCCTCAGAAGCCGCTGCAGGAAATGAAAATGGTGCAGCTGCTTTGAAAAGTTTGGCAGTCCCTCAAGATATTAAACGTAGAGTTACCATTTGACCCAGCAATTCCACTCCAAAATATATAGCCAAGAGAAATGAAAACGTACGTTCACATTAAAACTTGTGCATAAGCGTTCATAACAGCGTTAGTCATAATAGCCAAAAAGTGGACACATCCAAATGTCCATCAACAGATGAATGAATAAACAAAATGGGGTATTATCCATCCATATGATAGAATGTTATTAAGCCATAAAAAAGGAAGAAGTACTAATACATGCTATAATATGGACTGAGAAAATATCCTTGGTGGAAGAAGCTAGACAACGAAAGGCCATATGTTGTAGGATCCCTTTTATATGAAATGTCCAGAATAGGCAAATCCATAAAAACAGAAAATAGATTTATGGCTGACAGAGCCTGGTAAAAGGGAAGAAGGAAGAGTAACTTCTACTGGATGACAGGGTTCCTTTTTAGGGTGATGAAATGTTCTGAAATTAAATAGTTGTAATCATTGCACAACTTTGTGAATTTACTAAAAGCCACTGAATCGTATACTCTAAAAGGGTACATTTTAAGCAATATGAATTACATCTCAACAATTTTTTTAAAGTCTCTAGAATTAAATAATTTAGGAAATATAATGCAAACATGGTATAATGGTATTAATACATTACTAATTATTGTTTGCCATCTTTAAATCCAAGGAAAACTGAGTTTTAAAAATCTCAAAATTAAAGTAAAAAAACTCCTGAAGAATCTCAATTATCTATGAAAACAGGTAACTAGAGGACTCTTAGACTGCTCTGAGAAAGCTGAAAAGAACTGTTGCACTTGCCTAAGCTGTTAGCAAAGCTCTGCATCTATGAAGAGGGTAACACAGGCAGCATGTGAGCAGACATGTCTTGTCTGGTCCACAGTATTTTAAAAGGCACTGTAACTATGCAGTATTTTTTTAATGTCCAGCCGGCATTCTGCATTTATGCCATCTGCCTGGCCCCCACAGCTATGAGTTTTCAAACCTTGTTTATTCCATGACTAAGTGTCTCTGAGTCCTATACCTAACTACTCTTACATACACTTTTTTTTAAAAATTATAGTTGATTTACCATATTATATTAGTTTCAGGTGTATAACAAAGTTGATTCAATATTTTTATAGATTATCATATACTTTTCACATTATTAGTTAAAAGGTTTCTCAGTTCACAGCAAATTAGAAAGAAAAATAAGGACCTTTTAAGAAATCTGACAGTAAAGAAAAGGCAGGAAGAAGGAAAAATAATTAGACAAAAGTCACTTGCAATATGCAGCCATATAGTCTATTTTCTAGCTCATTAGCCTCTCTCTATATATCACCATTCTAGATAAGCAGAACAACTGAGGGTCTATGTAGTCACTCAAGAGTTTTGAAAGGTGGTATTTTTTTTTAAGATAAAAGTTTCCATTATCCGGAAAATTCTCTTAAATAGAAATCCTCTTTGAAAATGCTGAATATGTTTATTAGATACTTGATTTTAAAAAGATAATTTCTGAATACTTACCTAAGCGGCTATATAATTCTCGACTTGTTTTTAGATCCATTTTCTCCTGTTCCTCCAGTGAAACATCTGGATAAGACACTATTTTTTGATGTTTCCCACTACTGTGAGGCTTCTCTGAGTGTCTTGGTATAGATCTACTTGCCTCTGTCTTTGTGACCTCTTTAGGCTGGGATACAGCCGAAGTAAGCGACACATTTGGGGCAACCACTTTATCACACATGTATAAGTAGTAGCTGAAAACAAAGAATGGCAAAAGAAGATACATATTACATTTAGGTAAAAAGCAAAATATATTACATCAATTTCTATGGTTAAACAATTTTCTTTAAATCAAAACAGATAACAGAACAACTCAGAAAATAAGGGTCATAGAAAGGAATTCTTGAAAAAGTAAGTAGTTGAGGCAGAAAGAGTAAAATTATCAGGTTATTTTTGTTATTTTACAAAAAGTAGCTTCTAAGCACTTAAAAAGATAATGGAAAATCAGTCTCTTCTCCTTCCCTCAAAATCACGAGAACTAAAACCATGAAGTACTTTACAGAGCAGTTCAACAGCCCTGAGTAGGTAAGGTTTATGCCGAAAGAAAACAGTCTATACACTACTCTGGAGGACTATTTCCGTGCCTGCCACCCCTCCAAAGCAAGGAATCCTTGCTCTTTATTGTGGTGAGACTGATTCAGTCCCACACTGCAAGGCTATGGCCTGACTCATCACAGCCCCAACAAAGAGCTCCCAGGGCCCTTCTCCCTTCTCAGGGAGAGAACCAGCATTCTGAATGCTGCCCAGCTACTGGGCAGTCCTCCTTGGATCAAACCCCACAGAGCAATCTTCTGAAAATACTTTAGCATTTCTTACTTATTTGATAAAACAGCAATAATAAATTGTGCAAAACTAAGATCAAAGGGATAACTACCAATTTTACTCAAAGCTCATATAAAATTGTTCAGGAGATTATCTGAGAGACTCATGGAACAAAATTTGAGCTACATATTTAAGTGCCACATGATTAACTATAATCTGCTTAACCTCTAGCCAAAAAAACCTCTAGATGCAACCATTTAACTGACCAAACACTTCATCTTCTGAACTCTAAATAATCTCGTCTCATATCATTTTCCTTGTACAGGACATCTATGTAGTCCCTCTTTACCAATCACATGAATTCTGAGAATGAAAACTCAGTATTCTGCTAAGAAAACTGACAGGTTTATTACTGCCCAAAAACTTACTTCAAATGTAATAGGAATAGAAGGAACTATATAAATGTAAGTAAGATTGAGATTCTTTATCACTGTGCTTGGGGAGATAAATATGTACAGTAGCAGATAAAAATCTAGGTTTTATAAATATAAACTGTAATCTAAGGTGCATTTTTATTGAAAATATGAAAATTGATTTTGAGGGTGTGGCTACTATGAAATCCTCTAACTTTCAAAAAAGTTTCGTTTTAAAATATCAAAGTTGACAGAGAGGGGAAGATGGAGGAAGAGTAAGATGCAGAGATCACCCTCCTCCCCACAGATACATCAGAAATACATCTACACGTGGAACAACTCCTACAGAACACCTACTGAATGCTGGCAGAAGGCCTCAGACCTCCCAAAAGACAAGAAACTCCCCATGTACCTGGGTAGGGCAAAAGAAAAAAGAACAAACAGAGACAAAAGAATAGGGACGGGACCTGCACCAGTGGGAGGGAGCCGTGTTGAGGAAAGGTTTCCACACACTAGCAGCCCCTTCCTTCGCGGGCGGAGACTGCAGGTGGCGAGGCGGGGAGCTTCGGAGACACGGAGGAGAGCACAGCAAACGGGTGCGGAGGGCAAAGCGGAGAGGTTCCCCCACAGAGGATCGGTGCCGACCGCCACTCACCAGCCCGAGAGGCTTGTCTGCTCACCCGCCAGGGCGGGCGGGGGCTGGGAGCGGAGGCTCGGGCTTCTGTCGGATCGCAGGGAGAGGACTGGCGGTGTGAACACAGCCTAAAGGGGGCTAATGCGCCACGGGTAGCCGGGAGGGAGTCCGGGGAAAAGTCTGGACCTGCCGAAGAGGCAAGAGACTTTTTCTTCCCTCTTTGTTTCCTGGTGCGCGAGGAGAGGGGATTAAGAGCGTTGCTTAAAGGAGCTCCAGAGACGGGCGCGAGCCGCGGCTAAAAGCATGGACCCCAGAGACGGGCATGAGACGCTAAGGCTGCTGCTGCCGCCACCAAGAAGCCTGTGTGCGAGCACAGGTCACTATCCACACCTCCCTTCCGGGGAGCCTGTGCAGCCCGCCACTGCCAGGGTCCTGTGATCCAGGGACAACTTCCCCGGGAGAACGCACAGCGCACCTCAGGCTGCTGCAATGTCACGCTGGCCTCTGCCGAGCGGCTCGCCCCACACTCCGAGCCCCTCCCTCCCCCCGGCCTCAGGGAGCCGGAGCCCTGGAATTAGCGGCTCCTTTAACCCCGTCCTGTCTGAGTGAAGAACAGACACCCTCCGGTGACCTACACGCAGAGGCAGAGCCAAATCCAAAGCTGAACCCCGGGAGTTGTGAGAACAAAGAAGAGAAATGGAAATCTCTCCCAGCAGCCTCACGAGCAGCGGATTAAATCTCCACAATCAACTTGATGTACCTGCATCTGTGGAATACCTGAATTGAAAACGAATCATCCCAAATTGAGGAGGTGGACTCTGAGAGCAAGATTTATTATTTTTTCCGCTTTTCCTTTTTGTGAGTGTGTATGTTTCTGTGTGAATTTTGTCTGTATAGCTTTGCTTTCACCATTTGCCCTAGGGTTCTATCCGTCCGTTTTTTTTGTTGTTGCTTTTGTTTTTTACTTTAATTATTTTTTTATTTTAATACTTTTATTTTATTTTACCTTACTTTATTTTATTTTCTTTTATCCTCTTTCTTTTTACTTTTTCTCCCTTTTATTCTGAGCCGTGTGGATGAAAGGCTCTTGGTGCTGCGGCCAGCAGTCATTGCTGTGCCTCTGAGGTGGGAGAGCCAACTTCAGGACACTGGTCCACAAGAGACCTCCCAGCTCCACATAATATCAAACGGAGAAAATCTCCCAGAGATCTCCATCTCAACACCAACACCCAGCTTCACTCAACGACCAGCAAGCTACAGTGCTGGACACCCTATGCCAAACAACTAGCAAGACAGGAACACAACCCCACCCATTAGCAGAGAGGCTGCCTAAAATCATAAAGCCACAGACCCCCAAAACACACCACCAGACGTGGACCTGCCCACCAGAAAGACAAGATCCAGCCTCATCCACCAGAACACAGGCACTAGTACCCTCCACCAGGAAGCCTACACAACCCACTGAACCAACCTTAGCCACTGGGGACAGACACAAAAAACAACAGGAACTACGAACCTTCAGCCTGCAAAAAGGAGACCCGAAACACAGTAAGATAAGCAAAATGAGAAGACAGAAAAACACACAGCAGATGAAGGAGCAAGACAAAAACCCACCAGACCTAACAAATGAAGAGGAAATAGGCAGTCTACCTGAAAAAGAATTCAGAATAATGATAGTAAACATGATCCAAAATCTTGGAAATAGAATAGAGAAAATGCAAGAAACATTTAACAAGGATCTAGAAGAACTAAAGATGAAACAAGCAATGATGAACAACACAATAAATGAAATTAAAAATACTCTAGAAGGGATCAATAGCAGAATAACTGAGGCAGAAAAACAGATAAGTGACCTGGAAGATAAAATAGTGGAAATAACTACTGCAGAGCGGAATAAAGAAAAAAGAACGAGAAGAACTGAGGAAAGTCTCAGAGACCTGTCGGACAACATTAAACGCACCAACATTCGAATTATAGGGGTTCCAGAAGAAGAAGAGAAAAAGAAAGGGACTGAGAAAATATTTGAAGAGATTATAGTTGAAAACTTCCCTAATATGGTAAAGGAAATAGTTAAGCAAGTCCAGGAAGCACAGAGAGTCCCATACAGGATAAATGCAAGGAGAAACATGCCAAGACACATATTAATCAAACTGTCAAAAATTAAATACAAAGAAAACATATTAAAAGCAGCAAGGGAAAAACAACAAATAACACACAAGGGAATCCCCATAAGGTTAACTGCTGATCTTTCAACAGAAACTCTGCAAGCCAGAAGGGACTGGCAGGACATATTTAAAGTGATGAAGGAGAAAAACCTACAACCAAGATTACTCTACCCAGCAAGGATCTCATTCAGATTTGATGGAGAAATTAAAACCTTTACAGACAAGCAAAAGCTGAGAGTTCAGCACCACCAAACCAGCTTTACAACAAATGCTAAAGGATCTTCTCTAGGCAAGAAACACAAGAGAAGGAAAAGACCTATAATAACAAACCCAAAACAATTAAGAAAATGGGAATAGGAACATACATATCGATAATTACCTTAAATGTAAATGGATTAAATGCTCCCACCAAAAGACACAGACTGGCTGAATGGATACCAAAACAAGACCCATATATATGCTGTCTACAAGAGACCCACTTCAGACCTAGAGACACATACAGACTGAAAGTAAGGGGATGGAAAAAGATATTTCATGCAAATGGAAACCAAAAGAAAGCTGGAGTAGCAATGCTCGTATCAGACAAAATAGACTTTAAAATAAAGACTATTAGAAGAGACAAAGAAGGACATTACATAATGATCAAGGGATCGATCCAAGAAGATATAACAATTGTAAATATTTATGCACCCAACATAGGAGCACCTCAATAAATAAGGCAAATACTCACAGCCATAAAAGGGGAAATTGACAGTAACACATTCATAGTAGGGGACTTTAACACCCCACTTTCACCAACGGACAGATCATCCAAAATGAAAATAAATAAGGAAACACAAGCTTTAAATGATACATTAAACAAGATGGACTTAATTGATATTTATAGGACATTCCATCCAGAAACAACAGAATACACATTTTTCTCAAGTGCTCATGGGACATTCACCAGGATAGATCATATCTTGGGTCACAAATCAAGCCTTGGTAAATTTAAGAAAATTGAAATTGTATCAAGTATCTTTTCCGACCACAACGCTATGAGACTAGATATCAATTACAGGAAAAGATCTGTAAAAACTACAAACACATGGAGGCTAAACAATACAGTACTTAATAACGAAGCAATCACTGAAGAAATCAAAGAGGAAATCAAAAAATACCTAGAAACTAATGACAATGGAGACACAACAACCCAATACCTATGGGATGCAGCAAAAGCAGTTCTAAGATGGAAGTTTATAGCAATACAATCCTACCTTAAGAAACAGGAAACATTTTGAATAAACAACCTAACCCTGCACCTAAAGCAACTAGAGAAAGAAGAACAAAAACACCCCAAAGTTAGCAGAAGGAAAGAAATCATAAATAAATGAAAAAGAAGTGAAGGAAATGATAGCAAAGATCAATAAAACTAAAAACTGGTTCTTTGAGAAGATAAACAAAATTGATAAACCATTAGCCAGACTCATCAAGAAAAAAAGCGAGAAGACTCAAATCAATGGAATTAGAAATGAAAAAGGAGAAGTAACAACTGACACTGCAGAAATACAAAGATCATGAGAGATTACTACAAGCAACTCTATGCCAATAAAATGGACAACATGGAAGAAATGGACAAATTCTTAGAAAGGCACAATCTGCCAAGAATGAATCAGGAAGAAATAGAAAACATGAACAGACCAGTCACAAGCACTCAATTTAAAAATGTGATTAAAAATCTTCCAACAAACAAAAGCCCAGGACCAGTTGGCTTCACAGGTGAATTCTATCAAACATTTAGAGAGCGCTAACACCTATCCTTCTCAAACTCTTCCAAAATATAGCAGAGGGAGGAACACTCCCAAACTCATTCTACGAGGCCACCATCACCCTGACACCAAAACCAGACAAGGATGTCACAAAGAAAGAAAACTACAGGCCAGTATCGCTGATGAACATAGATGCAAAAATCCTTAACAAAATACTAGCAAACAGAATCCAACAGCACATTAAAAGGATCATTCACCATGACCAAGTGGGGTTTATTCCAGGAATGCAAGGATTCTTCAATACACACAAATCAATCAGTGTGATACACCATATTAACAAATTGAAGGATAAAACCATACGGTCATCTCAATAGAAGCAGAGAAAGCTTTCGACAAAATACAACACCCATGGGCTTCCCTGGTGGCACAGTGGTTGAGAGTCCACCTGCCGATGCAGGGAACACGGGTTTGTGCCCCGATCCGGGAGGATCCCACGTGCTGCGTAGAGGCTGGGCCCATGAGCCATGGCCACTGAGCCTGCGCATCCGGAGCCTGTGCTCCGCAACGGGAGAGGCCACAACAGTGAGAGGCCCGTGTACCGCAAAAACAAATTCAACACCCATTTATGATAAAAACCCTCCAGAAAATAGGCATAGAGGGAACGTTCCTCAACATAATAAAGGCCCACAGCCAACATCATCCTCAATGGTGAAAAACTGAAAGCATTTCCACTAAGATCAGGAACAAGACAAGGTTGCCCACTCTCACCACTCTTATTCAACATAGTTTTGGAAGTTTTAGCCACAGCAATCAGAGAAGAAAAGGAAAATAAAAGAAATCCAAATCGGAAAAGAAGAAGTAAAGCTGTCACTGTTTGCAGATGACATGATACTATACATAGAGAATCCTAAAGATGCAACCAGAAAACTACTAGAGCTAATCAATGAATTTGGTAAAGTAGCAGGATACAAAATTAATGCACAGAAATCTCTGGCATTCCTATACACTAAGGATGAAAAATCTGAAAGTGAAATCAAGAAAACACTCCCATTTACCACTGCAACAAAAAGAATAAAATACCTAGGAATAAACCTACCTAAGGAGACAAAAGACCTGTATGCAGAAAATTATAAGACACTGATGAAAGAAATTAAGGATGATACAGATAGATGGAGAGATATACCATGTTCTTGGATTGGAAGAATCAACGCTGTGCAAATGACTCTACTGCCCAAAGCAATCTACAGATTCAATGCAATCCCTATCAAACTACCACTGGCATTTTTCACAGAACTAGAACAAAAAATTTCACAATTTGTATGGAAACACAAAAGACTCTGAATAGCCAAAGCAATCTTGAGAACGAAAAACGGAGCTGGAGGAATCAGGCTCCCTGACTTCAGACTATACTACAAAGCTACAGTAATCAAGACAGTATGGTACTGGCACAAAAATAGAAATATAGATCAATGGAACAGGATAGAAAGCCCAGAGATAAACCCACGCACATGTGGTCACCTTATCTTTGATAAAGGAGGCAGGAATGTACAGTGGAGGAAGGACAGCCCTTCAATAAGTGGTGCTGGGAAAACTGGACAGGTACATGTAATAGTAGATCACTCCCTAACACCATATACAAAAATAAGCTCAAAATGGATTAAAGACCTAAATGTAAGGCCAGAAACTATAAAACTCTTAGAGGAAAACACACGCAGAACACTCTATGACATAAATCACAGCAAGATCCTTTTTGACCCACCTCCTAGAGAAATGGAAATAAAAATAAACAAATGGGACCTAATGAAACTTCAAAGCTTTTGCACAGCAAAGGAAACCATAAACAAGACCGAAAGACAACCCTCAGAATGGGAGAAAATATTTGCTAATGAAGCAACTGACAAAGGATTAATTTCCAAAATTTACAAGCAGCTCATGGAGCTCAATAACAAAAAAAGAAACAACCCAAACCAAAAATGGGCAGAAGACCTAAATAGACATTTCTCCAAAGAAGATATACAGACTGCCAACAAACACATGAAAGAATGCTCAACATCATTAATCATTAGAGAAATGCAAATCAAAACTACAATGAGATATCATCTCACACCAGTCAGAATGGCCATCATCAAAAAATCTAGAAACAATAAATGCTGGAGAGGGTGTGGAGAAAAGGGAACACTCTTGCACTGCTGGTGGGAATGTGAATTGGTACAGCCACTATGGAGAACAGTATGGAGGTTCCTTAAAAAACTACAAACAGAACTACCATATGACCCAGCAATCCCACTACTGGGCATATACCCTGAGAAAACCATAATTCAAAAAGAGTCATGTACCAAAATGTTCATTGCAGCTCTATTTACAATAGCCCAGAGGTGGAAACAACCTAAGTGTCCATCATTGGATGAATGGATAAAGAAGATGTGGCACATATGTACAATGGGATATTACTCAGCCATAAAAAGAAACGAAATTGAGCTACTTGTAATGAGGTGGATAGACCTAGAGTCTGTCATACAGAGTGGAGTAAGTCAGACAGAGAAAGACAAATACTGTATGCTAACACATATATATGGAATTTAAGAAAAATTTTAAAATGTCATGAAGAACCTAGGGGTAAGACAGGAATAAAGACACAGACATACTAGAGAACGGACTTGAGGATATGGGGAGAGGGAAGGGTGAGCTGTGACAAAGCGAGAGAGAGGCATGGACATATATACACTACCAAACGTAAGGTAGATAGCTAGTGGGAAGCAGCCGCATAGCACAGGGAGATCAGCTCGGTGCTTTGTGACCGCCTGGAGGGGTGGGATAGGGAGGGTGGGAGGGAGGGAGACGCAAGAGGGAAGAGATATGGGAACATATGTATATGTATAACTGATTCACTTTGTTATAAAGCAGAAACTAACACACCATTGTAAAGCAATTACACTCCAATAAAGATGTAAAAAAATAATAATAATAAATAAAAATAAAATAAAATATCAAAGTTGCACACCACACTCTTGAAGAGTTGGTTTACTTGTTGAAGGGAAGTAAGGAAATAAAAAGAAAACTTCCATTTTTTTCACTTTACGGCAAAAAAGAAATGACCTATTTCTAGGGGAAAAAAAAAACCATAGAAACACACAGGAAAGGTTAATTCAAATATTCAACACTATTTATAATTCATTTCATTGATTAGCAAAAAACCCTGAAACTATAAAATGAATTCCCAGGGCCTAGAATAGTACCTGATGTATAGATGTTGAATGAATGAATGAATGAGCCAATACCCACTCACCTGGGGTGTAGAAATGAATGTGTCTGAGAAACATGGTCACCTTCCTGCTTTATAACTGGATACCATGACTGTAATTCCATTCCTGGTGGTGTATCCATCTGTAGAAAAATGTGGAAGGGGAAAAGTTTATTGAAAGAGGATGTGATGGGTAATTTTATGTATCTACTTGACAGAGCCATAGGCTGCCTCCGGAAAACACTGACTAGTAAAGAATTATGTTATTTAAGAATCATCTTCTAATAAGGCAGTCTTTCCTTAAAGTACCATGTATAGTCACTTAAAACGGAAAGAGACATGAACTGTCCCATCACAAGAACAGTTTTAGCATGTATGTTAACATGGACTACCAGAATGATTTCATCAAATATCATACTTATGGAATCTATTTTAAAAATCCATTTTAAATAATAGTACTCTGCAAATGTGCAGCATTGCTAAGTTCTGATTCTTCTCATTGTTACAATTACCTAGAATATACCCCCCCATCCCTATAGTATTTCTTAGCATATTATATTAGATAACATTCTACAGCAATATTTTGCCAAACTTTAAAACCACTGTGTCTGCTAACACTTATCAGTAAACCACATTTTCTCATAAATATGAAAAGTTCTTTTTAGCCCTGAAGGATGAACTCTACCTGTAAATAAAGTAAGAGGAGAAGGTAACTGGCCACCTCAAAGTTCACGATAAGAACTTTATATCCTGCTTATTTCTAACGAATACCTGATTAAGTAGGTATAATTATCTCCATTTTACAACTAAGAAAACTGAGGTTCAGAAACTGAGATAGAAAAGAATAAATAACCTGTGGTTACTAACTTCCTCATTTGGTTTGTTTTATATTTTGTCTCCCCTCCCCCGACACACACACATATTGGTAGGAGATCAATGTTTTGTTAAGAATTACTGGGCAAGGAATTTGAAAGACTAACAAGAGCACAAGGTTATAGCGAAAAGAAGAGCATTTCGAAAGGACTTAAGAGGTGAGTATTCAGTGAGGGCCTCTAGACTCTGTAAGAGTAGAATTTGTTTCTAAACCTCACAATCCTGATCAAGTATTCTAAAGTTCAGAATCTGGGGCAAAAGCAACTGCTTATTTATAAAATAAATCAATCATTTGTTTACACAGTTTCTCAGCCTATAGCTTAGTTCTACCATAAATTAGAAAGGGAACTGACTGCTGGCAACAGAAATACTAAATGATAGATACCAGGTGCCAGCTGACAGCCTAGGGAGAGAGGAGAATTACAAGACACAAACACAAAAACTGATTCAAAAAGCAACACAATCTGAGGGCTTTATCACACATAGGCCAGGGCAAATAATTTAATGTACCTCAATTGTTCCCTACCCTTATCACAACAGAGTAACTGATGTTTAAGAAGTCTTGAGTCAACATGACATACTTATAGTCGATATTTATACTTACATTTATAGTATACCATATACATATATATATACCATACACATACCATTTAGAAAGACTGAAAACTATTTAAGACATTTTAGAATTCATTTAAAAAAAGGTTAAAGTTTTTAAAAAGACACAGTGCTGAGAAGAGTAGTTTCATCATCTAGAAAACTCACTTAGGCAGAACATTTTTCACCCCAACACTGTGATAAAAAAGGTGTTAATGAGCAGGGGTAAGCTCACTCTAACAAATCAGTGACGTATAAGATTGGCTCAAATTAAACGAGAATTTCATTTTTAGAAGTTATCTGTTAAACTCATTATTTAGAAAATATGGAAAGCTCCACTTTAAATCAGTTTTATATCTGAGACAATTCTGGATGTACTGCCCAAGAAATCAACTGTTTCCAGATGTTTTACATTAAAATTACTAAAATTGATTTATATATTTTAAAGTTTTCCCTCTATTACAGATAACTGGAATGTCAAATCTTCAGAATAACAAATTCTAAACTTCTTCAGCCAGAGATCTTGACTTCAAATCTGATTCAATTTTGATCAAGTTCATTTTAAAACTCTACAGCTTGATTTGTATAAGTTTTACCTTTATTCATGATCCAAACTCAGTATAGCTTTGTTTCCATGATGTCTCTAAACTTCAAATGCCACCTTAAATAACTGCTAGCACATTCTTTCTATTTAAACATCCATCCCTCTCTAGTTTCTGACCTTTATTTTGTTTCCTATTCTTGCACCAACACATGAAGAGAGTCACAGAGGAGGGGTTATTAAAAAAAACCTTCCTTAAAGATCACCTAGTGCAGTCCTCTAGGTAATGTCTGAACTCCCTATACAAAATCCCTGACGAGTGGCTATTCCGCCTCTGCTTAAACAGCAGCTTGAGGTCAAGTACTGTCTTAATCACTTTTGTATTTTCAGTTCCTAGCACCACGCATGGCATGTAGTAGGGACTCAGTAAATATTTGTTGAATGAATTCTGAATGACAGTGTAGCTCATTAATTCCCAGGGTAGCCTTTTTTAAGGTTAATCTGCTACCAGGAAACTCACAAGATAGTCTCTTTCACATTTAATACCCTTCTGTTCAATGAAGTACCAACAATCCTAAGTCTCTGGGTTGTATTTTGAGAGATCAGATCTACAAATTAAATAATATAAATGATGGGGAAATGCACAACACTAACCATGATAAAATGTTGGGAGTTAATTTTACCTAATATGCTGTGGTAAGCCATAAACACATTTATAACAAATTATCCTAACTGCATGTTAAAAACAATTATGAAAAGCACATATTATACAACAGAACATTCACGGGCATGCCAGATTTTCTCATCTATTATGCATTTGTGGCAACATACAAATTAGGTCTTCAAAAAAAATAACAATATAATTAAATGGCACAGCAATAATGCTACTACTGATCAGGAATAAAAATGAGACACCAAGATACACACATCTATTGCCTTTCCTTTTACCTTTCAATATGAGAATAATTTCATTCCCTTCGTGTACTTAAACATTAAAATAGAATACATTACATTACTTGGCAAAGAAGAGAAGTAGATCACTTAGTAGCTTAAGTTAGAGCCTTAAGATTTTAAAATACTTCTATTGCCCAACTTCCCCATAATTATCTACCACAAAATGAACAGATGGCATCCTCATCTGAAACATATAAGAAAAATTTCAGACATATGATTTTATTCCAAAAGTTCTTTCTCTAAGTCGTAAAACAACAAATAACGTCTATGAAAGCAAAATTTAAATAAGCCCAAAATGTATAGAAGTTAACTTTAAATAAGTAAAAATTAGGAAATGCTTTATGCAAGTTTCTCTAAATTTCAACTTACTGTGTTATATACACATGACCCTTTAATAATCAGGTTTCCTAATAAAGAATCATTGTATTTTGGTACCATGCTTATTAGCCTCACAATGACAAATAGTTTAGAGAACTTGATTTCATTTACAAAAAGACCAATAAGCATTTGTCACCACTTTCTAGTTACAAAAGCAATTCCACCCACTCAGCACCCTTTGTATACTAACATGCCAATTTGCACTAAAAAAAACCCCCAAAAAACAAAAATCAAAATGCTTTAAAATTCCCAGATTTATCTTCAATAATAAACTTTGATTTGAGGTGGCACTTTAGTTTCTAATTACAGTGTCAGATTAATATTATGATCTTTAAGTCCTAATGACAAACATTGATGAACTAAAGAAATCAAGACAATATCTCAAAGTATTGATGGGATTTCAAAAATTCCCCTCAAAAAATCAGAATTAAATCTTTTTAAAATATGTGGAAAATATTTTTTAAAACAGAATTTAGAAAGACAAAGATTAATGTTTACATTTTGGTATTTATAAGCCAGTAAGCATATGAAGGACTAGTAGACTGATAAATTTCATAGTCTATCCTCCTATAATGGTGTGCTTACATAAAAAGTAAAAGATAATGCATATTAAATACACATTACTTTGTACAAGCCAAACGTAAATCGTTAGCAACCTTAGTAAACACATGACCAAACACATAGTTAAGCAACAACTCCTTAGCTATAAAGCCAATATACCTGCCAGGTTCCTTTTACTGTGTATAATACTAAGACATTCAAGTGGTCCATAAATGATTTCAGAAGGACACAAAAGACACCCTACCAGACAGCTGCCAACAACTCCTACTGAAAGAAACTGAATCTCTCAGAATAGGATCAGGTTTTCTCAATACTTCCAACAGGCTGTGAATGAGTGTTTCAACAACTGAAACAGGAATAGTGTTACAAGGTAGCAAATAGCTACTTAAGAGATTTTAAGGCTTAGTTTTGTGCCTCATTTCATTGTAATTATTAGAATTAATCAACCTAATGCAAAACCGGAACAATAAGGTCTAAGCACTTCCACTAACTTATCAAAGATGGATCTGCAGAAATCACAATGTCTGTTGCTCCTCCACACTACAGAATCATATCTACCTCATAAAGCCAATTTTAGGTTTAAAGTGCTTAAAAACTCTCAAAGGAAAAGCAAGGTCACATTCTTATAATGTGCAACTCTCTTCTTAAATCCTTCATGGAAACAAAGCCATGTAAAAGTCAGTAGTACGATATTCCTCCCTTAAACTTAAAGGAAACAGGGCTTCCCTGGTGGCACAGTGGTTAGGAATCCGTCTGCCAATGTAGGGGACAAGGGTTGGAGCCCTGGTCCGGGAAGATCCCATATGCTGTAGAGCAACTAAGCCCATGAGCCACAACTACTGAGTCTGCACTCTAGAGCCCACAAGCCACAACTACTGAGCCCGTGTGCCACAACTACTGAAGCCCGCATGCCTAGAGCCCGTGCTCCGCAAGGACAAGCCACTGCAATGAGAAGCCCGCACACTGTGAACTCGCCGCAACTAGAGAAAGCCCGTGTGCAGCAACGAAGACCCAATGAAGCCAAAAATAAATAAATTTATTTTAAAAAAAACTTAAAGGAAACAAACTGATAAAAATCCTGTTAATTTCTGGAACTTGAAAAATAATTTCTTTACACTGGAATTCTATGGTGTCCAATCCACTTAATATTGCAATTATTTGAAAACTTCCATGTCATATACATCTTTTCACTAAAATATCTGTTATAAAAAGTTTTAATCTAGGGCTTCCCTGGTGGTGCAG